TCGAAAAAATAGATTTTTCATATGTTTTACTATGTGATCGACAAAAATTACGTAGACTTTTGTCCAGTGAGTGTACACAACTTTGAAGCACCCATTGTTAATAAAATAGTTATTATCGTTACATTTGATAGAGCCTTATTGCCATAAGCGGTTTGTTGTACCGTCCGGTTTGTGCTTGGATAACGTGAAAGTGTGTGACTGATAATAATAATTGGTAGTAAAAAGGTTTAATTTGCAGCAAACAACAAACATATGTAACGGCTTTTTATTGTCTGAAAGTTTCTGTCAATAACAATATTAAGCAATTTTTACTGTTACAACTCATCTGTGTAATGAAATGTGCATATAATATCTCCGTGAACACAAAACCTTCACCTGTTACGTTTATTCTTACAAAGAGAACACTATTATCGTTGTCCACAGACGACAGACCTGCATAAGCTTTTCCGGGATGGAGGAGATTGATTGGATGGAAAGGAGGAAATATAGTTTGGAGATCTATCAGATTTAATATGTTCTAGAAACGGTTGTGCCAAGCCTTGTATGTTTGTTTGACCTAATTAAAAAAAAAGAAGTTAATATCTTTAATATTAATCGATGATCGTCTAGACCCTATTTGGTACATATCAATATTAATATAAGTGAATGGCGTAATACTATTTTAAAACCTATTCATCGGCCAATCAGTCAAAATAGCAGAACAGCCAACAGCCAGAAACAGCCACCAGAACAAGCTGTTTATTAAGAAATGGTTACCATCTCTAAATCTAAATTTGACAAGTTTTTTTTAGCGAGCGATCTAGACCTCTCAAATCTCATAATGTTTACAATTGATTGTGACACAAAAGCCTTTTTTTTTTCCCTAAAATAATTAGGTTACAAAATTAGCTAAATGACATGCAAAACGATTGAGGTTTGGGGGAGGCGTTGAATCGTTTCATTCTTAGGCTGCTACTGCGGTTACTATGTTTCTCGACTGTCAGTAATTCTCTTCCAATAATTCGGCTTGCTCAATGGTATGGGTTGCAAAAAAGAAGGTCTTTGGCTTTTTTCGTACATTCCCTCACAGCTTCGAAAATAAAGCAAACAAGCCTGATCACAACATCATAACATTCCATCTACATAGTCAGATGACAGTCATGTATGACGAAAACAAAGAAATTTAATGCATGATCGAACGACTGTGTTTAGCCAGTCAAATCGAAACACTCTTCGTCGAATACATGGCTGATTCCTCAAAATTACGAATTCTGTTATCATTAATAAAAAGAACAATATCTGAGAAATCAACTATTATTTAGCAATATCGTCGCATATCGTGTGAACGGACTGTTTCCATTGTATCATGAGATTTTCGAAAAACTTATTCATACGACAACCATATTATCTAAAAAAGTCTTGAGACTTTTTTTCCGCCATTACATATTCTTTGTCATTATGAGAACAGACTAACACAAAATAGAACAAGTCAATTATTGAAAAATTGGTTTATTACGTTTTTTTTAAACATGTAATTTAAATATACTGTTGGAAAATTTTTTTTAAAAGGTAATGTTAAAATCAATCCGTCCGATGTCCGATGCTCAGACCACGACATGAATGAATAGTCGTATAAGGTACTGATAATAATGATCAGAAGTTAATATCATCTAATCACATTGCAATCGCTATAATAATAATAACAATGATAATAATAATCTATTAGAATATACACGTGCATAATAGTATGAATTAATATATCAATCGACACGTGATGTACCCCTTCTAGTACTACTCGATGATTATCCAATATTCATTTAACTGTAGACTAATATATTTGTGCATGTTTGTACCTGGGTTATGGACTTTTAATTCCAGCCAACATTCCAAATAAAGACATTTCCGCGGGCGTTTAGTAAAGCCTTTATTACCGGTTTTGTAACAGGATGCTCATGTAAGCATTCATGATGATGACATGACAATACTATGATGCGATAATTTGGTGGTATATACTGGTTTGTTACTCGTTCTGAAGAGCATCATCGTTCATCCTAACTCGTAGACCAATGTAGAATCAACAAATCTCATTCAAAATTTGATTTAAATGAACGAGACGTAGATCTATTGTGCATGAGCCATGACGGTTATGTATGATATAATATTAATGTATCGATGTGTATATTAATATGCAATCAGAAGAACGGGGAGACTTCCTTTTCTGGCCGGTGGTGTTACGTCGGGTGAAATTCTGTAGTTGTGTCCCCTACAGTCAAAATGTACGTGGTCTTGCATGCATCCAGATCATCCAGATTCTCCTTTTCCCAAGTCTAGACCCATCGAGACAATGCTTGCCATCTGCCACATGCCATAAATAGTAACAATCAACCCCAAAGTCAACACCAAAACGTCCGCAGCCTTAACTTAAAATATCCGTAATGCTAATTATAATTATTTTTTATACATTAAATATAAGATATTAATTATACTCGTTTATTTACAATCCTAAACAACAGTTATTATTATACAGTTATAATCAAGTTTTTACAACCTCTCTCGCTTTTTTTATATTCCCAAACAGCTTTGTTTCTTGCCTCTCTTCACCACAATCTCGAATGCAAATAGATAACATTTACAATGGCAAAACGTACTCAACATTGTGTTAAATTATATTGTGTTTCCTTCATACCTACAATCAACAGATTGACATTTAAATCCGAATATATTTGGGCTTATTAATGATACAAATAAAAAACCCACTCCGTTCACAATAGAAATAATTCAATTATTTTACATTGCCTAATACTTCATGCCTAAATATGTGTTCTCACAACTCGGGAGCAGTAGTTGCACCGAGTACATATTTGGCCAAAACAATCTTCATCTTACGAGGCAGTGAAAATATACTTGCATATACGCTGTCATCCCCCCAGTTACGACAAATAATCTCCGGATCCAGACTTGATTAATAAGGCGCCGTCAGTCTATTTAGCCCAAACCGCACTTACTTTCAATATTTTGGTTTCTGTCTTTCGTCTTTTGCAACATTATTGCTCTCTTCCCAACAAACACACCGTCTTCTCAAAACTTTTACAATCCCCACACACTTTTTGTGTCGACCCTGACATGTATTCCACAGTCGAGCACGTCCGCTTTCTCAGCACCGCTTACACATCAAAAGCATATCTTACAGCATCGGCCGAAAACAATATCATTGTCACATCTTCACCTCCTCGTCAACACCCACACGATCACCCCGAAGTGTGGATACTCAAGCCTATTCTATTTCCCATCGCATGGGTGGGTTCGTATCGTATATTTAACATGAGCCATCCTCAGCATGCGATAAAAGCAAGCGACTGTTCTCGAATGGGAATAAATATCACACTTGCACCATATAACGAGGAAACAGATTCACGCAATCCTGAATTTGTATGGAAATTGCAGACAATTGCCGACAGTCGAATGCTTGTAAGACCCATAGTTGCATGGAATCTCAATTGGAGCGTACCTGGGAACGGCAAATATCCTGATCCCGCAAGAGTTATACTTTGGGAACATCTCGGTGGGTTTGGCAACGAGACCTGGGTAATAGAACACACCACACCAAAGGTTATTTGTAGTTAGGGACGGGATGGATGGTATGAAGAAAAGCAATTCGGAATTTATATGCATATTGAACATAGTTTCGCATATCAAAAGTTATTGACTATTCATGAGAATATTGTAAATAAGATATTTTTTAGGCATTGGTGGTAATATAGTTTGTTTAATAAGTTTTTAGTACCATTTAGTTTGAATTATTCATTACAATCATTAGCATACTTAAAGTCATTTTACTAGTATTATTATTATTATTATTATTATTGCTACTACTAATACTACGAACTCTTCTTTTTTTTCAACAACGTGTACTTTTTTTCTTTCTTTCTTATCTTCTTTCTGACCACTACTACTATATATTATGATTCCATAAAAAAATCGATCTTTTCGATAAGACTTTACATATACAACAGTAAATGTATTAATCAATACAACTATGCGGGCTCTCACTTTCTTGTAAAAGGTTGATGCAATACTTGGCATCAGTTCAGATGTATGATATGGGTACAGAAATTTATTCTTTTCTCCTTGGGTGTAGTTATTGTCAATATTCTCTGTATATTTCTCACATCATTGTAATTGTCAGTGCATTCTCTCCTCGGTAAATTCATCGAAAATTGTATGCTTATGTTTTATTTCTTTTTATGTCTGTCGAGAATAGTAACTATTGTTTGAAAGCAGAGTGATCACAAAGTCTACTAATGATCTTTGTTTGCAAACTCATTTATGAATAAATAAGAAATTTACAATTATGCATAGTCATCTCAAGTTATCTTCCTTCATTTGAGTTATTGATATCTCAAGTCAGGACACAACACATTATCGACCGTAAGGTAAAATGCTATGTTAATGTGTTGTTATATTTATGATACGATAGGGAAGACCAGACCCTAGCGGAACGTGTGAACAGACAGGTCAATAGCTTTTAGTTAGCATCTTGGTCTCTTATCGGTAAACTCAATGACGCAATAACAAGCTAACCTTAAAATTTATTATCATGCCAATACAGTTCAAACAAGGTCAGTGAATGAATGGACAAAGTAGTTAAAACTTGCACGCGCGTTCTTATTCTCTGTGCAAGGGAGATCATATTTTAACATGCAATACAAGATATTGATGGATATAACACACGTATTGGGAAGAAAGCACTTCGAGTGTATAAAAACCAAGTTGAAATTGACTCAGAAAACGTTAGTTCAAGTGACTATATAACAGGTGGGCACTATACCATATTTCTACTCGGTCTGTATACGTGTATCGGCCGCTGTTTACTTTATATTACGTACATGCTAAGTAAAGGCATATATTTGCTTCCATCCTAACAATGCAAAATTGTTCTAAACGTTATATAATTAGGAATATTATATCAATCCTTTGCTTTGACGTTATGGTCCTTCAAGAGTCAAATAACAAAGCACAATCGGAAGGCAAAGTAGCAGTACTCTGCTTACTATGATGGAAATGATTTAAACAAAAGTATGTGTGAACCAACGGAACGATTATTTAACTTCCTTATTGATAAACTGTATGTCTCAATTTGACTAGTGATTCGGTTAAAGCTTGACGAGGTACATAATAGTATAGATGAAGTTGATGCTCGCAAACCTGTCTCGATTTTGTATGGCTGCGACTTCAAACTCGTGGAAAATGGGTTTTATTGTCACAAAATGAACATTTGCGGGACAAAGTTTCAAAATCTGTACCATATATAGTATATACCGTCGTCAAATTCAGAAAACTGATTATCGAATTCTCTCACTATCACTACTCTGCTTTCAATAATATATACCGTAAATCCTGTAAATTAGATAACAGCATTTTCGACTTTGATAATAATAAGCCAATATTATTAAAAGGTTATAAATTGAGTTTTCGCTTCAATGTATCTCAATTCAATGACGTCATCATATATCTCTTCCATTGATCGACAAAGCTTTTTTAAGCTCGGGAATTTAAATTTTAAATTTATTTTGATCTTTGAACCGGGCATTGATGGCGCCTCCAAGTCCTGATCAAATAGAATATGTTCCATATTCGTCTGAATTACAACTTCCAGGAATCATGACCTTAATAGAGAAGGATCTCTCTGAACCTTATTCAATATATACTTATCGATACTTTATCAACAATTGGCCCAATCTATGTTTCATGGTAAGTAAGGCGGGCTGGCGTGGTATTGAACGGAGTGGTATTACAGGAATTATTGTTTGAGGAAAAGTTCGTGAATACCAATACAACCATTTCTTATGAAGAAATATAGAACAGCATTACCTCAATTTAACATTAGCACAGTCAACATAATCGCCAGTGTTCATCCTTGATCACGTCATTCTCTTGTTCTATCTTCCAATTCATCCAAGGCCTTAGATAAAACTAGCTCCGAGAGTGATGTTTGCGTTGGAGTTATCATCTGTAAACTGGATCGTCATCGAGACGCATACAGAGGGTATATCGGAATGTTAGCAGTGAAAAAAGAATACAGGAAGATGAAGATTGGTAAAGACGAACAAATTCAGAAGGGGTCATTCGGAACAAGATATAGGATATATGTTTATTGATTAATGACATTCTGCATCGATTCGTTGTAACATCGTCTATGTTAAATGCTGTAAATAGGAACGTCGTTAGTCAAGATGGCTATCAATGCCATGAAGAGTCTGAATGCTGATGAGGTAAAAAACAGGACATCTGTATCATAGATACCGTCTTGGTATACAGTCTCGGTGGCTCAATATACTTACAATTGTACGGTTGTTCATCTCCCCGCATTCTCTACAGATAGTTTTGGAAACAGAACGCACTAACGTCGGCGCGTTATCATTGTACCAAAACCTGGGGTTTTTACGTGATAAAAGACTATATAGATACTATTTAAACGGAGTAGATGCATTTCGGTTAAAGTTATTCTGTCGAGGTGGAGGGAATGAAGCTGGAGCTGGATCTGCGACTATGAGTAAAGAGTTGGAAGACAAGATGTATGAGCAGAATAGAATGTCTGATGATCCGAAGACGAAACGACAAGAAAATTGAACAGGATTAGATAAGAGACGAATCGGTGTGGTTGCGGATTTCGAAGCGGTTAAAGCCTTGAGTAGTTTTGATAGATTGTTTGTAGCCGCGAAAAAAAAAAGTAATTATTTATACAGCAATCAATCGTTTGATAACTCTCGCACTGAAAAGTAACTAACATTCAAACAAAATAACGTGACTATTTCTGGTGCAGATCATTTATTTTTATGACACTCAATTCCCGCCATCGATTTTCTTAGCTTGTAAAAGAAATTATGTTTGAAGAATTAGGTCAGAAAGTGTCTCCGTTGACGCTATTCGAAAGCAAGCGTTGTGTAAACGTATGTGCGCCTATGGTAAGATACAGCAAGCTACCCTTTAGAGAACTAGTGCGAGGGTATGTTGGTGATAAATTATGTAGAAAAAAATATTAAAGCAGAGATTGCGCAAATCTTTCTTTTTTCTAATTTCAATCGTTCATATTGTTTTCCCAATAACTCACCCGTCGTTTCTCAAGGTATGATGTCGACCTGTGCTATACTCCCATGATATTATCGGCCGATTTTGCAGCATCAAAGTATGCACGTGATAGTGAACTCACTACAAATATAAAAGATACGCCGCTTGTTATACAGTTTGCTGCCAAGAACTCGAAAGAACTCTCTGATGCCGCCGAGTTAGTCGCCAAATACGTTAGTGGGATTGGTAAGAGCAAGAGTGAGAGAGATGCCGGCTTTATCGATTCTAACTGAGGGCGGGTGACTGTATTTGGCATTTTTTGCGGGAACAGACATAAACTGTGGATGTCCGCAAAAATGGGCAATCAACGAAGGTATCGGAGCACGTCTGATGGAAAAGCCCGAGTTTGTTAGGGACATGGTTAGAGCTGTGAAATCCAGAGTTGGTACTGAAGTCACTTGTTCGGTTAAGATACGTGTGCATGCTGATTTGAGGCAAGTGACAAAAAATAAGAGTTTATTGTGACCGTGTTTAATCATATTAGCGAATCAGGCATTTAGGTTAATTCTTACATTTCTCACGATATCAGGGAAACCGTCTCATTTGTCCAACAAGTCGAGTCGACTGGTTTAGATTTTATCGCTGTTCATGGCCGCACACGTCGTCAGCGTTCGAGTGAACCAGTCAATCTTGATGCGATCAAGCTAGTAAAAGAAACTGTCTCTATTCCCGTTATCGCCAACGGAGATGTGTTTAGTGTAGAAGACGCTCAGAGAATTCAATCCTATACAGGTGTGGATGGAGTAATGTCAGCAAGAGGAATATTAGAAAATCCTGCATTGTTTTCTGGACATAAAAGGACTCCGTGGGCATGTGTTGAAAAGTTTGTGAGGCTGTCTTTGGATTATGGAAACAATTTCTTTATATTTCATCACCACTTGTAAGTATCTCAATATGGTGCTTTGTGATTGATTGAGTTGCACACAGCTTCATCTTTCGTCTATTATCTAGGATCTATATGCTGGAGAAGGTAATGAGTAATGCCGAGAGTAAGGCCTTTAATACTCTCACAAATACACCTGCAGTGCTCGATTATTTGGAAGAGCATTATGGACTCAAATTATATTAATTAATAAACAGTGATTGAAACCTCTTTTTAATACCACTTTTTTTCCAGCTAAAACGTCTAAGAAAAGCTTTTATTCGATCTAATTTACTATCGCATAGCTACACTTCGGCGTTATGATAACCCTTTTTTTAACTTTTCTCTTTTTTTGTCAACTAAACGTCTAAAAAGGATCTATTTACACTCAAATTATTCACCGCGTTCTGGACTGTAATATCTTAGAGATCCATCCAGTCCAACAACTGCAAGATATTTTGCCAATTCACCGAATTTCAGATCTGTCACCTCTGCAGTGTTATCCGCAAGAACTGCGAGTTCTTCCCAAGTCTTGGAATGGAATACTCTGTTTATGCAAATAGATAGTTTGAAATACTCGTAAAAATCCATTCTCGCGCAATATATAGTAATACAATGTAAACTATACATACCTCACATCAGTCCCGCCAACAGCCAAATACTGTCCGGTGTGATCCCATACAACTTTGTTAAGTTTATTGTCCTCTGGCAAAGTCAGCACTTTAAAGTTTGTCAATTTCCGAAGATCCCATAATCTAACCAGATTATCTTCCGACGTTGTTGCCAAGTAGTATCCGTTCTCAGAGAATGCAAGCGCAGTAACAGCGCCACTATGTCCTGAAAATGGCGCGACAATGTTCTGAGATTTCATATCCCAGATATGTACCATAGAATCATTTGTCCCTGTACCAAGCAGTAAAGCGTCTGGGTGGAACTTTGCCGCAGTATAACCTTATAAATTGCATCGCGGAAGGAATACAACGATTAGAATACGACAAGATATGAATGCATATATTTAGATTGCGTGGTTTTTGCCATCTAACGTAATCGCAGTGAAAACTCACCATTTTGTACTTCGTTGCTTTCGATACGAGAAAGCGTCTTCCCCGTCTCTACGTCATGGAATGCCCAAGTTGAATCAGATGATACGGAGACCACATAGTCAAGAGTAGGATTTAATGCAATTCCTGTAACTCCGGCCGAGTGAGCTTTAATCGTGGAAGTTGCAAAATAACCTATGAATGCCCGAAATAAAGTAAACTTAGATACGATTATTTTATAATTTATAAGCATACGAAATCAATATGAATTATACCGCCGTCCGAAGGTTGCCATATCTTCACATTATTATCCGAACTGGCAGTAAATGCAATGTCTGGGTGTCCGGGGTCTGCTTTGCCACGCCACAACACGTCCGTTATCTCCTTGGTATGCCCTTTTAAAACAGAGTCAATTCTCTGTTTGCCACTATTATAGATTATGGCAGTATGGTCGACACCTCCAGTCAAAACAAAGTGGCCGTTCGAGCTGATGTCAAGAGAAGTTATTCCAGGAGCGCTTGACGCGTGCATGGGGGCGGCCTCAGAGGTCCATTTGTATGATCTGACCGAGTCTATAGACGTGAAGTTTGGTGGTGTTTTTCGTTTCTTGCGTCCCTTTGATAGACTGATCATTACAAGTCATAAAATGACAGAGACAATGCAGACGTGAAGATTGTATATAATTCAGATTAGTCGGTACTACTTGATATAGATAAATAAACTGTAACTCATAGTGAACACTTACACTGCATTTAGTTCTGACATTTTCTCGATAATACTGCTGTCGATGCGCCTGTCTAGCATTTCTACATCCATACTCTGACTTTCTTGGGTGTCCTCTTGCGAAACGGATGCGCCTATATGTGCTTGGACTTTAGCCAACGCACTGTGATCCAAATGCTAACGTGTGAGTACATATTTCAGCTAACCGTTAAAGTTTTGCACAGAATTTGAGGTCAATGAGTGCTTACTCTCTGGCTGCATCTCTTTCTTTTATTAGTCTTGCAATAACTCTACAGGCAGCGTCGTGTTGATAGAGAGCATGGCTGAGCTCTTGTCGTACTTCTTGATACTGTTGCTTGAGGGTAAACGTTTCTAACATTAAACTGTCCCATTCATTCTGAAGGGCCGAGATCATAGATGGGATTGATGACAGTTGTGGTGGACGTGGTTTTACAATTTTTGGACCTGTTAAGAGAGAGATTCGTTTAGCATAAAATTATTGTCTTCCTACAAGAGTTATATCTTCTCCTGAATGTTTCTGTGATACTGCGGCATCACTCTCTTCATTAGTCGTCTTATTTAAACGACACGTATTTTATCAAGACGTAAAGTTTCGTGTTTCGTGTAGACATCTCGGTCTATTGCTCCTACATACTAGTCTTGATATCCAGTAAATCTTCTTCCGCGATATCCTCTCCCGTTATTGGATCTCTTCCATTGTCAGCAATATACTTCAAAATCAATCGTTTCTCGTAAATATGTCCTGATTTTCTGGACGCTACGGGCTCCTGCAGGGCTTCTCCAGAAACTGTTATTGAGGTGGTTATCCTATTAGTGACAAGATCGTGAGATTCATTACTCCAAGAGTAGGGAAGATACTGATAAACTCTACATACTGGCACAAAACATGATCCTGTTTGAGAGTGTGAGAAGGATGTTAAAAATTTTGAGAATATACGGTTGTAACTTGCTTTTTGTTTCTTTGCATAGTTGCCTTATGTAGAATACATCAATTTGATTTGACCATTTTCACGTGATTAAAGTGCATTCTTGTCGATCAATTTGAATATTGACATTTCGTCCGGTGACAATTAGCTACCAAAAAAGGATAACTTCGAAATAACGATAATGTTGGTGAACGCCTTCCCCGAGTTTTACTGACACTCTGGCATATATAATTTCGTTGCTTCAACACAGTCGACTCATAAGCGAAGTTATATACGTAACAAAGATTGTAGTCAAGTTGGTGCAGAATTATCGATTAAATAATCGATTGGGCAATAGTTATAGTGAACGGTTAGATAACGAGTATATCTGTCTATTGTGTTTACGTATTTGGCAAGTTAATACATTTTGTTATTACACACGTATTTGCGTCAAAGTTTTGAATTTTATTTAATCTCTGGTAATAGCATATGTGTACGCTAGCTTATTATTATATGTTCTTGATTACGTCGTCATCAATTAATAATTTTCTTCACAAAGATATACTATACGGTGAGCGATCCAATCTCTAAACATAATAATCGTTACTATATCTTTCGCATAATAGTGTATAATTTTGTGATAGACATTGGATTATCAATAATTCTGAATTAAATGAATAAAAGTTAGACTTTAAGATTTGGAGTTGCAGCGTGAAACACCAACTGCGTGAATACACGTTGAACTTATCTAGACGAAAGAGAGTCTTACTTTAAGTAAAATCTCAATGATTTACACGCGTTGTTTTATCAAGTTTGAGTATAATATTTTATATAAAGTATTGATATCAAATATAAAGCCTTTACTGATGTAATCGATATGTATACTATACAAACAAACTTTCCTTATTATAACATATATTTGCTCGCTTTCCCACCAAAATTATATTTAATTTATATTTACCAAACGTCTCAGATTAAAGCCGTTCCGTTATTACATGACATGCTTGAAACATTATTCAATTTTTCCATAAAATACTATTCTTTCCATTCTCCTTTCCAATCACCTTCTTTCGCTATTGTTGTCAATATAAATTTAACCCCATCGATGAATTTGTTAATTTTTTCTTTTGGTTCAATAGCACCTTCTTGATAGGCAACAGTGAAGTTAAGTTTGTCACCATAAGTGCCTATATTAACCATTATTGCTGGTCCAGTAACCTAAACAAAACTGATATGTTAATAACTGATGGACATCAATAAATGCAGGTTACATTTTTACTCACATTTGCTGACTGGGAAAATAGAAAATCCTGTATTTTTATTCTTTTATCTTCATCTTCATCTTCACTTGGTTTCCATATATTGATATTGGATACATCCAAGGATGCCACCCTTCCCATGGGTTCTACTTTCCTTTTCTTTGACAAAAATTCCTCCCATCCGGCAGTGTTGTTGGATAAGAATTTTAATAATCCCACGTATTGAATCGATGTCTTCATGCCTTTCATCAGTTTGTATTTGTAGTTTTTTGCAAGATTCCAAAATCCTGTGTCAATATCTTTTGTTGAAGCCGCGTAGTGAAATTTACTGACATATACACCCAGAGTGGGTTTAGTTATGGGTACAATACCATACGGTCTAAGGGATATTGGCGTATCTGTCGATACCATTTTGGCATTATCGTTTTCTGAACTGAGATATCGATAAGCTGATAGTATAAGCGCAGTATGAAGAATTGCATGAATCGACGTCTTTTGCTGTTTCGATACCAATTTTATGGATCTAAATTCATCTTGATTGATCGATACGATTTTTAATGAAGTATTGAAATCATTAATTTTCATAGCGTGAACGTCTCCAACGTAATGCTTTGGTGTTGTTTTCATGAAAGTTGGCAGCAAAAATTCGTTAAATACTTCTTTCAGAATTAATCCAACTGATGGTTCAATATCTACGGTCTCTTCCAATGGCTTAAACATAGGGGCATAGGGAACATCAATCATTGGTGAAATACTTGATAAATCATTTTGATTGTCGATCACTTTCTTCAGCGCATTGTAAAACAATGAATGTAAAACATGCGCACTCATTCCGTCGCCAATACTATGATGCCAACAAAATGTAACACTTATTTCGTAGGCGTGTTCAATGTTTATCCCGAACACTATTCGCCATAATGGATTGGTCTCAATCGAATGATCCAATGGTATTTTATGTTCTTCCTCTAACATTTTTTCCAGTTGCTCATCCGAACATATGGCGGCAAAACGTACTTGTCGAGATAAATCAATTGTTGGAATATGAACATATAGTGGTCGCTTAGTCATTGGGCCTTTTATGCCCTTTGACAATGCTGGTTCCTTAAGAAGAAGTTCCGTGAGTATGCCATAGACGACCGGACGTAGTTGATTCGTTGTGTTGTCATTTAATTCAGTCACTCTACCGACGGAAGCGAGCATAAAAAGATCTTTACATTGATAACGGACAGTGGCACAAATGTTTGTGTAATAACCTATGGCCTGCCTTATGGTAAATAGCCTTTCTAGGTTACCGAGTGGACGAGCTACTTTTAAATTGGATTTTTCCATGGAAATTGTGGTATGTATGGTACGATATGGTATGGTATAAGTATAGTATGGTATGTATGCGTGGTATGTGGACAGCTCACTCAATTTTATACAAATCTGAAATTCAGACCATGCCAAATTGAGACACGTATACCAGATCAGGTTTTCATTTCCGTGAAACCATAGCAATTATGAATGTAACATTAACACAGATAACACTATGCGCACATATTTTTATTAACATTTGCCAGAGCATATAAACCCTGGTTTTTCGGATATCAGATTAGTCAGAGCAATTAATTCGGTTGCATATAAAAAATTTTCAAGATACTCTTTTCTTTTTCCTAAAATTCAACATCTGGTTCGTTAATTCGTTTTTTAATTTGCAAGTTTTTCATACTAGATTTAATTGGTGTTCGTTCTTTGTTCAAAAATAGTTTACTGGATTTGTTTAACCTTATTCCGTAACTTTTGCCTCCCCTGGCGCAAATGAATTCAATGGTTACGCTAAAGGGAGAGAAAAAGTAAAAACCGAACGGTTACCATTATCCTTGTACTAATTTGGGTTAGAACCTTCACTTCCAAGATTCTATAAAGTTTCTAACGCCACAGACACAATCTAATATTAGTATTGTGTAATATTACATGGGAAAGGTATATCCAATTTTTACTGTACAGCGCATAGACGCTTAGCTTAAAATGCTAACATTGTCGTACTTTAAGCGACTGAAACATATAATGTACGGCATCGAGGGGTGAGAAATAAACAAAATTTACAGATCAATAAATTTGTTTCAAATTGTTTCTCAACCTAATTATAATGTTATTTTAGCATTTATTGCATTCAGGTTTGTTTGAGTAGTTAACATTGGTGGAAGCAATCAATACTGTACTTATGTAAGAAGATTGCCGTCACCAATAAATTCTAATTCATTTGCGTCGATACCGAATAATACAGCAAATTAAATACATTATATGCTGAACCTCCGCATAACACTTTAACGAAGATTCCAATGGTTTTTTTGTTATTATGCTAATTTTATTACATGAAATTGCCCCCTAGCGTTTTCTATTATTAGCCGTTGTTATTGACAACGGTTTATCATACAGCACAACAAATTACCTTTAGCCATTCTGTAAATGACTTTTGAATATCAAGTCAACATCTGATACAACATCAATAGTATGAAATTTATTTTTGGGAATGCGAGTTACACAACAGTCTCCATGTGGAAAGTCCACGGCCGCCTTAAAGAAACAAACTGTACCGATGAGGTATTATATGTTAAACAATGAGGAAAAGATGTACGTAATTACGTATTTTAAAGCCGACGACGTCTACTAATGGTTGTTATCACAAAAATAGATGAATCTGGTACAAAGCTTATTAGCTTATTAGTAATGCGACAAATCTTATTTGCCATTACGTCAGTAATCTGTTATTTTTTCTTGGCGACAAGGCGTCTTTCAGACAACAATCGTACAAAACTTAAGCTTCGTTAGATAGACGGAGTTTACTAGTCCGATATTGACCAGATTTTCTTATTTTTGAAACAGCAAAGCTTAGGATCGCAAATAGTCACACGATTACCTGTAATTTGTTTTTAATTTGCCCCGCATTTAGCATATACACGCCACATATACGCTTAGCCTTAGACAGTAGCGTTGCGGGGGCTGGGTAAAATATCATCAATGAAATTATCGACTAATGAAATCTTTGGCCGACGTATTAATGAACCTGGACTGCTTTCTGTAGTTAGATTATATTGACATTATATGTGAGAGCATGCATTAGCATGTAGGGACAGGTTACATTCAGTTATGATTGATAATAACGCGTTCTCTCCGGGAACAAAAATTAATATTGTTTCGGTTGGAGTCAGCAAATATAAGGGGGGTCTTGTTCATTACTAGTATATATTATTGTCGGTAAAGACGTCGCATACTATAAGGGCTACTTTATTTAGACTCGTTAGCATTAGTAGTAGCATTATTAGACAGAACCTAATCGTATTTGTCAAAAGCTTTCAACTTCCGAGTATAGCTTGTCACCTCGCTCTCTCAAAATCACATGTTAATAGATTTCTGTTAAGAAACCAAGCATTAGTTATGCAACTACTAGAGTTGATTACTCCATTAATAATGACTGTATACCTTAATAACTGGTTGCCAAAAAGACCACCACCAATATTTGAATGCTAAAAATCGGTGACCTTACTTCCATAACTCCAGTCTCCATGTACTAAAGGGTCTGTTTTGGGTCCTCCGATTTCACCTGTGACAGGATTCTTGTCTCCTTCGAACTCTGGTGGTGGCTCGGTTCGCATATCAGGATGGGTCAACCGCTCTTCATCGTCTGCTGTCGCTACCAAGTGTTGTTTCTTGACAAGTTCTTCAAATTCTTTCTGTTCTTCTGGATCACCAAGCGGTAGCGGTCCTGGCCGCTCGAATCTACTGGGAATGGTGAGAAAGCGGATCGGGTAAAGAGATAATCTTGTCGGCGTAGTAGAGATTCTCAAGAAAATGCGCATCTTTAATTTATGATAGATAGGGAAATTGAGTCGTACCTTTAAGTAGTTTGCGATTGGTCATCACTTCTGTACGTCAGATAAAATTAAATAAATGTCAAACTTTCACTAATATTATTAATTGAGATTACTTTTATTGAGTTGGGGGGTTTTATAATTTTTCATTAGTCTCTTCACTAGGTCTATCGATTGTCTCCTCTCATTATTGGTCTAATTAATCTTTTGCTATCACTCTTAATCGACCCATTTAAGGGCTCTGCTTCCGATCTCGACTGTTTTCCTTCTTAAAACCTCGGATACTTTTTCTCTTGTACCTATTTTACCCCTATTTTCCTTTAAAAAGAAGTCAACAATCTCCTCTTCAGTCATTCCTATTGCTCCAGCATCAGGTAGTTCACCGGTGACCAATTTGCGGATATCGTCTTCAGTTGGGAGACCGAAGCGAGCATACGGATAATTCTCGAATGATTTTAAATTTAAGAAATTAAGTATTTTATCATTTGTTGATTTGAAATAGAAATCTTCGATATCTTTATCAATAACTTTTGAGAGACTGGGAGGATCCCATCGAGGCGCATCAGTCTTGTCAATTAGGCGCGCTCTAACACCTTCTTTAAAATCTGATTTCTCCTGGAAAGTGAACAGCTTTGGGATTAAAACAGATGAAACCAAGTACACAGAATAGGGCTTAAACAGATCATCTTACCAAGAATTTGTTCACCAGACCGTATTCCATCTGCAAACAATCGGTAATCGTCATTCTTTTACCAAGCCGCAGTTCTCGTAGAGTTACCTATAATATATACCCGTCAACTTTACCAATCTTCATTGCAAAGAGTACGTTTTCAAATATAATGCTTTGTTAAAACAAAAAACCACCTTTAAACTGGTTGGGGACATTCGAGACAGAACTTCTTTTGTCTCTAGAGCCCAACCGCTGTCCTCTTTTTCCAACGCCTCCACGATTTCACTGACAGAGTTATATTTGAAACATCTGGGCATAAATTCGAAACGATCGTTAAGTAAAATGAAACACAGCTACGAGTAAATCACTGCTCCCTTCAATGTCTCTACCTGTCAATAGATTCACGAATCTGTCCACCAAGAGCATATCGATAATTCGGCTCTGGTTTTTCAACAAAATCTTCAATAGCAGCGTTAATTACCTCATGATCATCACTCTCTAGTTCGCTCAAACGATCTTCTAAATGAGGTAACCGTTCAGACGGTACATAGTGCGTCGCGATACCCGAAAAGCTATGCAAAGCTTTAGTTAAAATATATTTTCTGAAATCGATTCTGGTTAGTCACTTACAATACATCAAGCCCGAATAGCCTATTTCCGGTTAGAGCAAGATACGTGCCGACTTCTCCATCCATTCTGGGTAGATAGAACGATCCCCCAACGTCAGGGAATAATCCAATGGCTGTCTCAGGCATAGCAAAAACTGTGTTCTCGGTTGCCACTCTAAACGAACCATGAACCGAAAGACCAAAACCACCGCCCACTATAAAATCCACAGTGTGATCAGGTAAAGGACCGTTAACTAAAGTCGAAATTAGGCAGGCTGCGAAACAGTACTTGTAATGCCATTCAGTAACGCCACATATGGTTTGTCGAGCGTTGCAATTAAATGATTGAGCTGATATTCTTCTTCAAAAAACCGCAGAGCATTCCCTTCTTCCGTCGTCTCTGTCTTTTCTTGTTCTGCCAATCTCACAACGCCTAGACGGATAAATTTCGCAAACAATTAGCTTCTTTGCGTAATAAATTTGTAGGTTTCGCTTTCCTTTTTCACTTACTCGTTACATCTCCGCCAGCACAGAAGGCTTTGTCACCAGCACCTTTAATGATTATAACTTTACACAGATCAGACTCATTCCATGCCTAATTACGTCGAAGTTAGAGGCTGTCCAGCGTAATAGCATTGCGATCAAATGGATTCATTACGACTGACCTGTAACTGAGGGGTCATATTTCTAACCATACTCAAATCCAACGCATTCAACTTGTCTGGTTTGTTCAAGATAAACATTCGGCTCCCTAGTATTCTGCGATGAATAACATCAACCTGCGGAAACAAGCCGCCCAGCATTAATAAACTCTGTTCAATTACATGGGCAAACAGCTAGGAGAAAATAAAGGGAAAAAATACCTCTGGTGTTCCAGGAAATACTCTGGCAAGTTCTGTTTTAGCATTAGAGGTTACCAATGACATCTTACATAATATAAAGAAGCGATAGCCATATCATTCAATTCAAGGTATCGTAGAATGATAGTAGATTAAATTCTACGGATCATAAATCATCATTTCCTTATAATGCTATATGTTGGGGTTAACTCACTTTAGCATTTCGTAATATGGAACCTATCTGGTACTTTCTGTTTCTTAGGGAAGAGAATAAGGAAAACGCTCTTTGATTCATTGCGTATATCGAACGTAAGAGAGGGACAAAAAAAACGTCAACTTCGTCAATTGGACGATGCAGATCTTATCGATGTAGATCACTAATACAGTAATATTAATATGGATCAAGGACTTGACATCTTGTATTAATTATACGCATTAAACTGAACTGGAACTTAACGACACAACTGTCTATTGATAAACGTAAAACAGCTACTATATAAATCAAGTTAATTATTTAGCTACGTTTATCATTTAAACTGTATGCTGCTCCCTTGCTTGATTTGATTTGGATTTTTTGGCTACTCTGTGTGTCTTTGTAAATATTGATTGTTCCCACTCGTGCTTATGTTTTCGAAATAGTAGCATACAAATCTTTGCATCCTCAACCTGTTTTGTTCAATAAATATCATTACCATGAACGATCAACGATAATTTACCGAATGCAACTGGAAAACGTTGTTGCCGAATAACTCACCGACGAATGTTTGTTTTCTTGTATAGTTAATCCCAACTCTTCTTGAGCAAGTTTCTTTAGTGAGGGCGGTTTACCTCGCGCGTACTTTGTTCGAAAAATTCGGTAAATTGATGTATCTCTTGTCATCATACGAGGGTGATCTAATAGGAGAGCCTAATTAGTCGCGAAGAGAACTATGAGCAACGTGCAAACATATTATAGACTTTGTTATACACGATGACGGTTCTTACTTTGAAATCGTGATGTAAAGCATGACCTACAACGATTTTGCTTTTTATCAATTCCGCCACTTCTTGTTGCACTTGCTTGAATTCGTGTGCTGCATTGACGGTGATAATAGAGGGTTTCAATGCATATTGCATCCAGATCAAGACGACGAGTAGAACAATCCGTCAATGCTCTGTGGACATCCACAACAACGTACCTCATACATGTTATTCAAACTATAGTTATTTATGACTTACCATCAACGAGTAGCTTTGGAGTTATACCACTAATTTCTGTTCTGAAATCTGTAATTCGTTCTATCGGCCGCACATATTTATCATAAATAACAACTCCATTATAGTTGACAATGCTCACTCTAGCAAGAGCTGATCTTTGACCTTCGAATCCAACTCCAACCATTTCGCAGTCTATTGCTATATATTTTCCAACCCTAAAGGATAGCAGTGATCATTAGATCGGAAGCAAGCACCATAATATAATAGAACCTGTATTAGATTGGAAATTTCTCGACATACTTTGTTAATTTTCCTGTATTTGTCTCATCCGTTGTATGGCTACTTGAAGCATTAGTACTGTTCCAGTTTTGCTTTAGATCATCCTTTACCGTAACAATCTTTGATTTCCCCTTATTCGAGTCAGTTGGCTCGTAAGTCGAACTATTGCGAAAACTGTTAGGATGTGGACTACTATAAATAAATGTGAGAGAAACTATGCTTACCCGGTCGATTTCCTTCGTTTGATAGCGAAGGTCTTTTGGGAATTTTGTCGACGTTTTTTATTTGTGGAGAACATCTCGAATTTTCATGACCCCAAATTTTAATGCTCACGTAAATAGTAAATTGTGTGGTCGCACAAAATTGCCGCAGCATCACCCGCTGTTTTTTTGATGGGCCATTTACGTAGCGAAGAGAGGTGTTCGCTGCGTTCTGCAGAAGTAATGACAACCACAGAACAAACTCAATAAATTACTATGAACAGTGGAATGATAATGCATTGAATAACCGCGTTAGCTTATTCTCTGTTTTCCACATCACCTGTTTACAAAAGATCGTACAAAAAGAATTTATACAATCACACAGAAAACACCTTATTATGTTGCTGCAAGGTTTGATAAATAATAAATAATCCACAACATCAATTAGCAGAACTATAACACAAAATTTTATGGCAAAACCTCAAAGAAATAGGTAATAAACAATAATTCGAATAAACTTTCGGCAGGTTTTGAAAATCAAAAACCAGTTTACCGTATTTATCGAACTAAAATATTCCCTTTAGCACAGTGCCACGTGGTTTATTACAATATTTACACCATTGTTCTCCGGTTCCACCATTTTGAAGCTTATGGAACGTGGTACTGTGATCGAGTTGTTACGTAGAATACTTGTAAAATACCATGATACAGTGTTTTTTATTAAACATGCTTATTATATTCCTAAGATCTACTTCATAATCAACACCTTCAATATCTACATAAATATCATTATCATTATCGGACCAATCAATGCGAGATGTTGCAAATTTTATAGACGTTGTATGTGAGTTTGAAATTTATGTCCATTCCGAACAGACGTATGTCAGATTTAGATTAATTGTTTGTTCAAGTTGTTCTATTATCATGTTAAGCCACCAGTTTGTTGTGTGGACACTACTAATATCAATTGCTGTATAAGCGAACACCTGTATACTTGCACGTTATAGGCCATGTATTTCAATCACACGTCATTATCGGAATACACCCATGGGTTCTCAGGGTTAAGCTATGCGAAAAGGAAACACTTCCAATTTAGTCGATCCCCTTCGGGGGAATCAAATTGATGCCCCGGATGCTTCTACCTATTTTGGCATTAATTTCCAAATTTGATCGGGCATCAAGCTACTCTTAATTGTGCGACATAAACTATAGCATGTAAATCATTCGTTCTATGCAAAATCCTTATTCCATGCATATGCCCCTTACCTCAATTGCCAGTTGCCGAATACAGTAATATTAGTAAGCCCAATCATCTTATTGAATACATATTAATATATGCTGGCTGTGGAATAAAATTTTTTTCTGATCATAATTTTGGTCGCCGCTATATGTAAACATGCAAACCATTCCCGTTATGCTGTTAGACAAGGGAATTTTAATACGAGTGAGATCATGGACATTTTCAAATCGAAAACTATCCGAAGAGCTTTTCACGACTATAACGCGGCGTGGTCTAATCAATACAAGAACATGCATAATTTCATTTCCTCATGGACTTTCTATTAGTTTACTAACTGACGATCAGGGTCCAATATACATGTATAGCTACCAGCATGTAACAATCTGTCATACTATAATCGTTTAAGCGTTATTTTGTGGCACTTGATTTCGTCGATTTAACCAAGATTGGATGTAAGACTAATTGTTCAACGCTTATCGCAAAGCTGCTGCCATAACACCCTTATGATCTTCAATGTGGTAACGTTAATTTGATACAGTACATCGTTTATATGCAGTACCTAAATATCGTAAATACTTTATAATGTCGTTACCTGATTGTCTTTATGACATATACGTCCATTCCGAATGGATCATAAATTTCAAACTGACGTATGCATATGTCCATTATGAACTGACATATATTCCCATCTGAAATTTGTCCATTGCCGAATAAATTCCCAACTCATAACAATGCACATAGCCCGCGTTTTCTAGACAAGCGAATGAGATAATCAAATGCGTATACGCCAACATAAGCAACGCATCGCTATATACTACAATATCATCTTTAACATCGCACAGTATACTTTCTATATAAGAGCAATCTTCATGATAAAAATTAATTATTCTGATCGGGTCATTATTGTGTGCTGAATAATATGAACTAGTTGATAATTTTAATAATTCACATCATCAATTTAGGCAACGATGGTGTGGTGTATTACCATGTGATATACGAATTGATATGCGGGACAATATTTGACCGACATATAGAAACGGTTACCTAAAGTTACCATGAGATTACTGTGTATACACAAATTTGGCTTCAACTTGGGATATTACAAAATATTATTTAGGAAACTATTTTTCTTATAAAAATGATGGCACTGATAGCATGTTGAACTGTATCAACCGAAAAAAACTTACCAGTTGACTGATTAACAACCACAAAAACTATGAAACACCCAATTTTCTTTCTATTTTTTGTATTGGTTACAACAGCAGTAATCAACGCTATTCCGCATACATTAATATTAAGGCAACAACCTACCGAATTTAGTTCATGTGCTATTTTTGGTCTTGACGTACCAGATATCAGCGTAACCATATCACCTGATTCCATTGTTGCTGGCCAAAATGTTACATTCCACATTATCGGAACTACTAAATTCAGTATTCCCGCGGCTACTGTTGGAATTTTTATTTACAACGACACTTATGACAAGGAATATCAAGCCAGCTTTTGTGATTACTATATTTCATGTCCTCTCGGCGAGAATAATGCGTTTGGCATCAATGTTACAATTACGCCAGAAGTTGTTCCTGAATCTTATAACATGGACGTCTGGATATACAATGACACAGCCAACTTCTCTTGCGCTACGACCTACACCGATCCGGAACTGAGTAATGGACGTCTGAGTATTCAATGACACAATCAACTTCGCTTGCTCTACGACCTACACCGATCCGGGACTGAGTAATTAATGAAGCACTCGCGTATTGAGCTTTCTATTACTTTGTTTCATTCGACTTTTTTTTTTTTTTTTTCATGCATACGCACATTTATTAGTATTGTGTAAATTTTAATCAATATTTTACTAAATTTTTGAAAAATGACATAAACAAATTAGAGTGCGTTCTAATTGACGTACAAGTTAGAAGAAATATTATCGACAGTCTTTATCATTACCTAATTACAAGAATTTTTGTTGTTAATTTTAATATCGTGCGCATTAACATTAATATATTTATAAAGTAGAAGTAAGACTCGAAAAAAACAGGGTAGTAAAACAGGGTAGTAAAACAGGGTAGTAAAACAGGGTAGTAAAACAGGGTAGTAAAACAGGGTAGTTTGGGCAAAGTTAGAGTTATTACAAAGTGAATTAAACTGTTTATAGCTTTTGATATTCAAAGTTAATAAACCAGAGCATCTTTGTAAAAGACGCAATACAAATAGAAAAAGACTGCAAGATTAAATTGATACAAAAATTGCAGTTTCGTAAATTGTCTTCAAGATCGAGATTTTGGAGTACAATTCAGTTAATTGGTCCGTTACAAAAAAAATTGGGTTTTTCTTATATATTCTATATCGTCCATTTTAACATTTTTCCTCACCTTTTTGAGCCCGCTTTGACTTTGTACAACGCATATAGTTATTGTAAAAGCCGCCATGATACATGATGGATATAGTCGAAAAATGCTATTGCTTAATAGTAACGGCCATGAATCTTTATGCGTTTAATTTTAATATGGTGCATTATCGACAATTAATTATTTTGCCAACCCCTTAAATTGCCAAATTACCTCTGTCTGTTTTATTCATTACATTAACTATGATGCGCTTATTTGAGGATGAATACAATTAGCAACATTTTTTATATAGGGTTTGTTTTCTTTCTATTAAACCTTTTTTTAAAGAGCCCGAGATTACCTGTTAAAACAACTGCGCAGTTAATCTTGCTAAAGCAAAAATTTATTTAATGTGACTAACAACTACCAACTCACAATCAACGTTGTAGCATAATACAACAATATTATACGTTATATCACAACTGTCATGTCGTTTTATTTTTATGAGTTATAATTGAATAATATGTTGTAATCCTTTACTATATTTTAATCTGTTATAAAAGTTGGTTTTGTCTAATGCACTAATGTTGAGATTTTCCAAGTCGGACATCTGCTATTGCAAATAAGCGAGAATATGTGAGAATCTAAAGATACAGTAATTCTTGTGATGTAAGACTCTGAGTTTTACGTATCTCTAGAGCAAATAAACTCATTATATTAGAGAAAATTAAGAGCTCTTTCAAGTTTATCCTTCGCACGAAAAAGCTAACTTCTAATATAACAATACTCAATATTTTAATTTTTTATTCAATTTTTAGTTTAAACTCTCATAGGATTAATGTTTTTTTTTTTTTGTCGGAAACAAAAAACGGTAACAAAAAACGCCAAAGTACCAAAAACGCGGGAGTTAGAGTAAAATTAATCATACCATATTTCAAGAAAGCAGTTTCAATAGTTCTGCTAGCTCTAGAAATAATAAAAAGCTTTTTGCGTGGCAGTATAGGGTAGGAAGTGTGTTGTTGTAGCCAGTAGTAAGCTATGGTATTCTGTACACTTGACCGGAGCGTGAATTTTATCAAGATTAGTGACACTTCTTATTGTTACCAAATTAGAAAATTTAAACTATTTGCATTTTGCTATAGTAATTGATTAATATGTATATTTTTAATCAAAAGAACGACTGGATAGCTGTATTGATAAATATAACATTTGTGTAATATGCGTATACATAACAATTGGTATACCTATTATTTCTATTAAATGAAATAAAAAATTTCAACAATTATTATAATATGGTAATCGTTCAAGGTTCATCCGTACGATTGTCTACTACGTAGTCAAGTCGACAATTTATTTGTATTACAGTCAAGGCTCGGAAAACTGATGGCACTGTTTTTGCGCTTTTTTTTTATCGGTTTTTCAAACTAGGAGTATGATTTGCCAATTACGATACATGTATTGTTAATCGTACTACCCCATAATATCAGTTCATCGATTTTGCGAGATCTATATCTCATGTGTTATTATTATCGGTTTTACGGATAAAATTTTATTACAGTGTTTCCGGAATTGAAAAAAGTATCGATGTTGCGAATTATCGCTTTTTCGAGCTTTGACTGTATTATGAGATCGACTTGTCGAATTTCATAATTTATTACAACATGAACAATAAGCGAATATGAAATGTTAAATGACAACTAGAATTATCTAAATAGGCAGTTATATGCGCCATTGCTACGATTCTTCTCAATTGATAGCATAAACTGTCATGCGCATAGCCATGTTCGAATGATATAATCAAATACAGTACGTATTATACAGTAAGTAACGCACTATCAATGACGTCACGCAGTATATTCCCATATAAGAAGCAATCTTCTCAACATAATCCAATCACCATTGTGTTGAATAATATGATAACTTCGAAATAATGTTGGAAATTTTTGCCGGTGGGTAAATGATTGCATCACCCATCGAGCAGTTCAGTACTCCTATTGAGAAAATATTCACCACATCGACGCAGGAAAACAGTAACCGACTTTACACTGTTAAAAGGCCACTTTAATGAATTTCTATAATAATATTAATACATATGCATATAAAATTTTTCCCTCAAAACCTCGCTATTTAATATCTACAAGAATAATTTATTTCTCACATTCGAGTTGTCGCTAACATTTGGTCAAAGTCAGCAACTGATATCACCGATTGACTTTCCTCTACTTTCGTAACAAGAAGATATCTGGGACTTGTGAACTCGTTTATGACGCTGGAGCTGTTAAATGAAATCGATGCTTGTGTGCGTATTGGCGTAACAACGTATGAAATGGATCGATTGTTGCTCGTACGGAAATGTTGAAAATGATTGTCTATTGGACTGTTGTTTGTCATATCGGAACAATGGATGGCGGAGCCACAAAAAGATATTGGGAGCGAATAAGAATTGCTTGTGTGGGTATCGACTTGATTGTGATTCGGCGGATTTAAATGCCCATTCATGGTGTTAATATTAAAATTACCCGGATGGGTAGAAGAAACCGGGAAATTGCTTTGATATCCAGTGCTTTCATAGACGTCACGTCGTCATTATGTGGGAGAGAAAAGGAGGCAGAAGGTTGAATTTGTCGATCTGTTAAAACGGAAATTTTGCGTAAATAATAGTGTAACGAATATTAAATACGTGGATATTCCCATTATCAGACACACAAGCGAATGTTATGAGGATGTCACGCAATTAATCTTTCCACCTTGCAAATTAACAGTCTCCCGAAATTAGTATTAGAGTCGTACCCGAAATAACTCGAGTACGCTCTTCTCTCACAACAAACGTATTCGCGAATTATAAAATATATTGATTAATCATACCGAAATGTTGAGAGTAATTAACAATCGGACCGTCGTTTGTTGTATCAGTATCGGAATAAGGGACGCAAAGGTCACAAAGTGTCTGAAAAAATCCTGGCATCGGACAAGAATTGTTTGTATCGGTTTCGATTTGGTCGTAAAGAGGTATACTCAATTGTTCATTCCTTGTGTCAGCGTTAGTCTTATGGGCATCTTCCGAAAAATTGCCTTGATACAATGCGTAATTGCCTGTATAAATTTCGGTGTCTTCGTAGTCTATACTATTCATCGACATATTATCGGAGGGAGAAATGGAGATAACAGAAAGTAGGAAATTTTGGGTACGAGAAAGAGATTGCAAATTAATGGGCTTGTTATACTGTCTGATATGAATGTTGTCAGTATTATTCGGTTCGTTCATTGTATCAATGTTATTAGGGATTGGCCTTGACCGTGGACAATTTTCTGAATTCAACAATTGACATACTGTATCATGCACATAGCTTGTTTATATATAAATGAAGTTGATATCGTTAGCATTGTCTTCACCGATTCGACGTTCCGATCGGCATGCCTGTTGACTAAAACTATAATAGTTGACAAATTTTACTTCTCGGTGCCTCATGCTCCATGCATCGCAGGTATTATTACTTTCGATTAGGAAACTGTGGCTAGAGTTTTGTGACAAATCAAATATTGTGGCTCGGGATCAATATACACCAATAGTATTCTTTTTTCTCGAATGTATAACTATAAATAACTCGAGTGATGTAAATAGTAACTATAAATAAAAGAATGGTAGTACTATTTACGATTAGGAAAATGTGGCTAGAATTCTGGTGTGACAATTACCAAATCAGATTGGTGTGGCTCAGGGTCAATATGTCGAGTGATGTATAACTATAAATAACTCAGGATCCAATGATATTTCCTTTCGACTAAAATAATGTTTGCAGTTCAAATTACGAACATGTATCGAATGCAAACTAGGACAATATATCATCTGATCTAACAAGCCGACGATTGCTGTTTGCAAATCAACGTTGATAATTCGGCCTTAGAAAAATGCTGTCAGTTTTGTAATAATTTGACCTTCTCACATCAAGGTTGAACAATAAAACAATATTAATTACTATACATGCCATCAATGACTCTTATATCGTAAACTTCATCAACCTTATCAAATGCTCTCTTTTTATGTAAATATTACCTAAGGACAGATCCTTCTGTTTCTGTATTCTTATTCTATCGACTTTTCACAAGGTTGTCTTATTTCGCATCGTGTTTGTTATCGGTGCCTTACGAGAGAAAACATTCTGCCTAATACCAACATTTAAGAGAAAATTGACGATAGCGGCATTCTTATAAAAAAAATTGACAAACAATACTATAATATTCAAGACCACGTGCAGCGTTATTACTTGCATTAGATTGTTATGACTTGACTTTAGCAAATTAAATAACATTTATATGCTAATAAACGATTTAATTCCTTTTTTACTGACACGGGCTGTTTTTAAAAAATAATCTTAACCGCTTATCCTTAACTTTGACAATGGTTTTCTCTGCCATAAATAATACTAGCTAGCAGTTCGACATGGAAAAAGTGTCATTATTTATACGTCTTTAGCTCTCTCATTTTGTGACATGCTCTTTAATAATACTTCTACTACTCACTATTATTGCATTATAATAATCCATGCACATGTATTTATTTATTAATTTCTGAAATATAAAGCCAGAGTTCCAGTACTTCCTGCCTTAAACATTTTCGGTTGGGTTTCCCTCTCTAGTCCCGAAATTTCGTCGTATAATCTTCACTTGTGTAGAATCCAGGCTTACACTACTTTTATGCTTTACGAAAGGTGTAAAAAGTGTTTTATACTTGAATTATTTATAGACAGTTGAGCATGCTGAGTAGTCTAAAGCGCATAAACATTCTCTTTAATTGATTTCAGCCACAGCGTCTCATTATTAAATACGGGTTCCTCTCCCATATGTACCTATTCTGCAAGTCATAATCTCGTACGACAGTGATAGCAGATAAACAGAACACATCGATATTAGAGTGTGATTAAGTTAATATATTCAATGAGGAAGAAAAGATAACAAATATATCTACCCGACTTATTAAAGCAAAATTTAACTGCTCTTTGAAATATAGGCAATTTTTTCATACCAGTATGAACGACAGAACAACTAATATATTTTTTTTCCGATATTCTCGAGTCTATTGTATTCGATTTTGTTTTCGAGCGCAACTCGGCTATTATTATAGCCTGTTTTATATAAAATTTTCGATTATTTAAGTTAATTAAGCCTTTTTGTTTGCAGTCTGCCGACGATTACAATTTATGCGAGGGCTGTGTCGTTTTTGCACACTATATCATTAATTGTTGGCTTTGGAACAGCCAGTCTTTTCAATCCCCGTCCAGAGAGCCATCCTATAATTAGAATCGGTTCAGAGCTTACACTGTCAGTATACGTTTTACGATGGTGTAATGTTATAGGCAGATAAGAATAACGATACGGAAATTTGAAAGGTAGAGAAGTTTATTAGAAACATTGGCGACTGACTACTTTATTAACCATAAAGATGACGACAAATTCAAACTATTATACGATAATGACAACGTTAATAAACAAAGAGTAAAGCCATTTATTATGACGACAGTCATAACGAATTACGCTTTTCAGATTGAGTACAATTTATTATGATTGCAGTGTACGGTCTGAATAGTAATGTACAAAAAATTGCTACAATATGTATAAGTTACTTTTCAGTAGTTTAATTAGTTAATATTATCGGTACAGGGAAAACGAAAGAATTGAGATTCGATTAAAAAAAAAGCAATATTAAATTAGAACTAGTAGCGGCTCACGGAAACGCTTTCTTTGTATTCATTGTTCGTGTATCGAAGACAAACTATACCTTTTAATTATTAATTGATGTCAATTTCCTTGTCTTTGACAAGATAGTAATCTAATTCTATCCCGACAAACGGTTTAATATTTAACAGTCCGCAAAATATGCAGTGTCAATGAAACTCTATTGAGAGAAATATTCATCGCTTTATCCACCACATGGACAAAAGAAAACGATAATAATGACTGACTTTACATTTATTAAAAAGGTATATTATTTTTGAGAAATTGAAGGGGAGGAGTTTATAAAGAAAAATTTACCACAAGGAAAAAGAAACGAATAGTGTTATTAAAATTTCGTCAAGTAATGTCATTCTCGTCGCTCTTACTCTGTAGATTGGGGGATCTCTCATAAAATGCATGTTTATATAAACTTTCAAAAAAAACTTATTATTAATGTTAAAAAACCTTATAAATGCATATTTCCATAAAAACTTATTTCTATTTCTAATATTTCGAAAGACACGAGTGCATAATTATAGAAACTCATAAAAACGTATTCATATTTCTTAATGTTAAGAAAGACGTACATTATCGTCTGTAAAAACTTTCTTTCACATGCGAACGTTGGATAGCATGTTGTCAATATCAGCAGCTGATACCATGCCTAATACCGATCGAGTTTGCTCTACTTTTGTGACAAGATATCTATGGCTTGCAGACTCGCGCGTAAGAATATACGAAACAGACAAATGCTGAGAACGAGTATTTGTCGGAGTATAGTTCGGCATATCAGAAGGGCCATTGAGTGTGGAAAACGATACTGGGTTTGTGTGGGGCTCGACTGGATTGCAATGCGGTGGATTCGAATGTCTATTCAAGTTAGGGTCCGACTGGATATAAGAATCCCGACATCCAGTGCTTTCGTAGTGTATGTGAGGTTGATCTTATCAAGCAGAAATTTTTGCGTTAGCGTTTGTGGTGTTGGATGTCAATAGTTATTAATTATTAATATATTTGGTTTATGAACACAAATACATAATATTACCAAGATTACGATACGGTAGATTTAAATGTCTATTCATCACGTTAAGATTATCCGGCTGGATACAATAAAGCGAAGAAATCCGACATCCAGTGCTTTCACAGTGCATATGAGACTGTGCTTGTTGATCTTATCAAAACGGAAATTTTGTGTTAGCATTTGCAGTGTTACTGAGTAATGTATAACGGTAACTATTAAATATTTCATTATACGTGACTTGTGAACAAATGTATGATCATACCAAGATAATGATGCGTTGATTTCAAATGTCCATTTATCGCGTTACGATTATCCGACTGGGTATAAGAACACGAGGAATTCCTGTATCCAGCGTTTTCGTAACCTATATGAGATCGATCTATTGCGGAAATTTCTGCGTTAGCGCTTGTGTTGGCTATAAATTGTGTAACAAGCTATTAAATATTATTCATTAGACAGTCCCCAAAGCTACTGATTTTATATAAACTGTAATATCAAATAGCTTTAGAGCCGTAAACATAACATCGGATACGCTCTTCTTAACAAACACATTCGTGGTCTATGGACATTTTGTATAAAAAATCTATAATCATACCGAAATGTTGAAAATTGTCATTCGGACTACCATCCGTTATAGAATAACTTCCTGGCATCGGATAAGAAGTATTTGCGTGGGTTTCGACTAGGTCGCGAGAAGGTGTATTTAACTGTTCATTCGTCGCGTCAACGTAACCCTGGTGAGTTTCTTCCGAGTAATTACCTTGATACAACGCATAATTGCCTGTATACGTTCCGGAATTTCCATAGTCTATACTATTTATCGACATTATCGAAGAGAGAAAAGGAGATATCAGTCGTGTGAAAATTTTGCGTACAGGATTGAGTTTGCAAACTAATGCACTTACTTATACTGTCCGACATAGCTGTTGTTTGTATTGTTTAATTCATCCATCGTTATTAGAGAAAGCTTTCTCGTACACATGGTTATTTATAATAATAATGCCTGTGTAATATTCCGGTTCGTGCAGCTCCGTTAGTAACAAATCAGACCTTGTCAGGTATTTGTGATACTCATAAACGCCAAATCGCTGATCATATTCTTGCTTCAAGGTTTATTATATTGTGTGACAGGACAGGTATAGCGGACAATGGAGGAACGATATTATCGATATTTGAAATATGGGTAATCATTTCATATGACAAATTCACAGACGGATTTGCAATCCTTACGGCAGACCGGGGCGTGCATGAAAGTATAAACGACGGGACAAAGCAATACTTTTTTTTTCAGTTGATTGGACTTTTTTGAAACACAACATACTCGTAACTTGCCGTGAATAAGGGCTAATCTTTATCATATAATTCATAGAATGTTTAAAAATGATCTACGTAACAACCCTCCACGTTATCTATGTGTCTTATATAATCACGTCAATTGTTGATACGATAAAGGGATTGGCTATTTCATATTCACGTTTAGTTTAATTACGAATCATAGTAAGCGACTTGCTGGGCCTTTTTAGTCACTAATGTTGATTTACGCAAATGTGGTGGCCACATTCAATTTACCGATCTTTGTCCTACCATGCTAGCACAAATTTGTGCAAATCTTATTTTTAGCAACCCAACCAGGTCAAGATCCTATTTTGTGTCATTATTTACGATCTGCGCAAATCAGATTCGCAAAATCTTCAAATGGCAATGTAAATAAACTGACATCATTTTTCAATTATTGCGATTTTCAAAATGCCGTGACACCCTGTCCACGGGACTCGAGATATTATGTTTGTAAAGATTATTCGTGATTCCAATGACATTGTCAAATATAACCCTTCTAGCTAGGACGTTGCAACTTTCTTCTGGCTTACAGAGACCTAACTGCCAAGTTACAGCTTCCTTTGTAAAGGGCAAGTAGGAGATTACAAGACGATTACAAAACGATTACAGGTGATTACAGGCGATTACAGGTGATTACAGGCGACTACAAGCAGTTTACAAAGTATATTTCTTTTTGTAAGTGCTGTCAGGTAGCTATGGGTCGTTCATTTAGTGAAGATTT